AGAGAGAGAGAGAGAGAGACAGGTCAGACCTCGTGTGATATTTTTGGATCCTTCAAACAATGAGTCAAATTAAAAAACAGTTTCTGGAACTTTCATTGAGTTTGTTTCTTGAACAGAGTCTGTTCTGCTGTTCGTTCTGCTTCTTGGGTACTGCTAACCCCAAACATGACAGACAGACAGGTACAGACAGACAGAGAGACAGGGACATGTCTCACCTCACAGTGCCAGCAGCAGGGAACTCCCTTCACCATCTTCTTCCTCTCTCCTGGTTTACAAGGAAAACTACAGATGGAGTCAGGAACTAATTTATCTCCACCAGACCACTGCATGTCCTCCAACTGACCCCGAGGGACAGACAGGTCAGAGAGAGGGAGAGACAGACAGGCAGACAGGTGAAAAACAGACAAGTCAAAGAGACAGACAAGTGGACAGGCAGACAGTGTCTAGATTTGTCCTTTTCCTACATTAAGTCTCAGGTTATTGGTCCACTGGCCGATGACACGGTATCCAGGGTGGCTGTGATTGGTCAGCTGAAACTGGAAGATGTCATAACGTCCAGGAGCGTCTCCATTCTCATTGAACAGAACACTGGTACCTGCACTTCCTGTTTGAGAGACAGACAGGTAGAGAGAGACAGGCGAGGAACTGTAAAACCTTTTACGCTGCTCTACATCTCGGACGTTGCTCTGATGGATGTTTGCATGTTTGTCACCGTTGAAGTTGACGGCTCTGATGTAGTTGAGCAGCGAGCGTCCCTCCACAGGGTCCATGGTGCTGCAGACGCCGCCACTGCCCGGACACAGGTTCTGGAGCATGCTGTGCAGAGCGTGAGCAACGGCATACACTGCGTCAATCACAAACTGAACCTTCCCTTCCTGCTCGTAGGACGAGTCCCGACCAATCCGCTCGTCACCTGCGGGGACAAGCATGACATCACATGACATCACACGCCTGTGATTGTTTCTGTCTGTCTCCAGACCCCGCCCCCTCAGGTGAGGTCGTACCTGTACATTTTTTCTTCTCAGGATCCAGTTTGATTCCAGGTCGCGTCAGTTTACACCTGAAGTCGTCTTCCCAGAACTCAGCGAACCAGATGTTCCTGCGATTGTTCTCCAGAGAACGAGACGTGAAGTACTGATCGAAGCCTGAACAACCCACACACCCGACAATACACAATGATACACACAACAATACAAACACGATCATACACAAAATACACAATGATGTTTTGGCGTTAATATTTAAACCTTCAATCGACACTCGTTTCTGCAGGATGGTGACCGCGCCCTCAGCGACGTCTTCCAGCTCTGTGATTGGTGAACTTTTCGCTCCCCAGCTGTCTGAACCCACAAACAGGAAGTGACCCGTCAGGTTAGCACGCTTGGCTGCCTCTAGGACACACCTATCAGAAAAAAAGAGGAGGAGTCAATGTGATAACCATGGCGATGTGATTGCAGGTAAGTTTGTTGGTCATGTGATTTTACTTGATGTCGTCCTCGTTTGCGAAGATGATGACGCCTCTGGCGTTACTCGTCTCCATCAGACGTCTGATGATCTTATCGAACTCTCCATCGGTCGGTTCACGAGGAATCTTCACTGACTGAGCGATACAGACCCCACCTGACAGAGAGAGAGACAGGTAAGAGTTCACATGAGAGAGAGAGACAGGTCAGACCCCACCTGACAGAGAGAGAGACAGGAAAGAGTTCACATGAGAGAGAGAGACAGGTAAGGGTTCACATGAGAGAGAGAGACAGGTCAGACTCCACCTGACAGAGAGAGAGACAGGTAAGAGTTCACATGAGAGAGAGAGAGAGACAGGTAAGAGTT